ATGCTGGCAAATTGCCATGCTGCTGGCAAATAGCCATGCATGCTTGCAAATACATAACTATTTGCCAGCAATCGAAATTGAAGCGCTTCAATTGCGTTCTTATGGAATCGACCTCTAGTCAGCACGCGCTCTGCACAGCGTATGTTGGGCGATCCGCCCCCTCCAAGAGGACTTCGACCCCTTCCAGCGCATTTTAGAGGTAGGTTTTGAAATTAAAGACATTTCCTATAAACTTTAGTTGGGCTGGGGCATGTTTTGACCGCCTAATGACCAAGTAGTTGAAACCCTGCCTGGACTGTTGCTTTAAGATTGCTCCAAAGGTGTGCCCGAATATATTGATTAGGTTCAAAGGAAAGGTAAATATAACCAATCTGTCAACAAAGGTGAGAAGGGGACACGTCGTGGTCGTAGTGTACTTCGGAACCCTCAATATCCCTCTGACAATGAGGCAAGGTGTCGTTAGCAGGAACGGGACGCGACTTTTTTACGCTCCGCAGCGCGAAACATTTCTCGCTGCGGGAACCTCAGCCCACCGCTGATCATGAGTGGACCTGGGCTTCCCGCAGCGAAAGGTTTCGAGTACCCTGCCGCTGATCCTATCCTACGGCTGGGGAGACAGGGTTGTAAGCTAGGACCCACCAATGAGCGCGTGATGCTGTGGCCACTCTTTCTTGTTGAGGCACTCTTCTCTCTAAGGAGTTGCGCGCCTGGAGCCTAAAAACGCAGAGTATAGCTGGTCCTATGACACCACCCTGATCATCCCCCATTCCCCAACCGCAGGATATGGTCACCGGCGGGGACACGTTCACCCGGAGAAAGGATAAGATACAGCCCCATATCAAGTTGCAATGGGAGGAGAGAAGAGGATCCACGCCAAACAAATAACAACTGGATAAGTAATCAGTTGATAATAATGAAATGTCTCTTTTCGAAGCGAAGTAAACACCGACAAACGGGGATAATCAGCTTGCATAAGCAGTAGAGTGTAAACACTTCATTTCTCAGCATTAGAAGTCAAGTAAAATTTTTTTGTAAACATCAATCAAAATTCTCCACAAAAATTAAGAGCACTAAATGCCACGCCTGATCACGTAATCATAACTGAAATCAAGCTCTCAACAAAAGAAAGACTTCGTCTGCAAAGCCTTCCAAGAACACAAGAGTACAGAGGATGGAATCTGAAAATTAATTCGCATCAAAAAATTATCTATGTCCATGTGGAAAGCATTGGAACCTTTTTTGGAAATCAAGGAGACGCGAACGACGGTGACAAACTAGGACAAGATATCTGAACTGTCTTCCATAACGACGACCGCCATATTGACGCTGAAATTCAATAGATAATAAGATTCCCGATAACTTTTGTCCTTGAGGATGAGAGGAAATCAACAAGCATTCCAGCTGTGCTTTATGAATCAGTAAACAGCTGATGGTTACCCAGAAACTGTGAGCATTTATAGTGACACCCGCAGTCCACGAGGGGTATCAGGGACGCAAAATAACTTATCGCAAGCTACGCATTTCCAATCAACACATTCAAAACTGGAGAATACTTTGAAACGATGTCAACTCACCACGACCAATTGATAATTTCGCATCACGTAGTCGCCCAACTTATCTATTTCACCACTGGCTTTGTACTTTAGCATGGCACCCAAGCTTTTCTGAAACAATTTCCCATGCTTGAGCATAAATCAGTCTCCAAAAACGAACGAAAAATCAACTTGCCGTGAGCAAAGACATTTTGTGTAGTTCAGCTACTTCTCTTTTTTGTGGATCTTGTAGTCGTTGCAGACCAGTGAACATCCTAGATGAAGCTGTACAAATTAAAGCTTTCACAGTGAGATAAACTGAATTAGTAATCAATAATTTTCTAGAATTAATAATTACTGATGAAGAAATTTGAAAAGAAGTGAAGTGACTCATGCATAACGGCGGTCGTCAAAGGGTTAACATATGCTATATGCCTTCCGAGAGTCTAAATTCAATGAGTGAAGGGATCAGCCGCACAACAAAGTATATCATGTGAATTGTGCTGTTTCCTATTTACAAGAGCTTGCTCATCACTTTCAAGATTATAACTGTACTCAGGTATGGTGGCTTTGAAGTTGGAAGACACTGGCGGCAATAACCGGCAAATTACAGCAGCATTTCTTTGACATACTAAAAGAAAAAAGTGCCAGAATGGAGGATTTCAAAATTCACCGTTTTCATTGGAAACCGCTCAAATCGACCTCACTTTTTTCGCCCCATTATGAACAATTTATAGCCGTATAAATTGGGGATAATGTGGCTTGAAACGTGCTCGCTCGACACCTTTTTTAATCTAAACCCAGCAAATTTTTGCGCAGTGGAATAAACGTTGTAAATAATGACGAAGAGAACATCGCTGATTAGCTTTACTTTTCTACCAGTTTGGCTGCGCACTCATTCGCTTGCATCACACGGGACTGCACTGATATCAAACAGGATCAGTAATTCCATACTCCATCCTGGCAAACTCCGTCCACTTCGGCTCACGTCCATCCCACTAACAGCGCTTGGACTCCTTTCCTTCGCCAACCCCTACCCACTTTTTCCCAACTTGCGGGAATTCCCTAGTCGAAGCATGAGATTTCATGGCACACTCCGCACACTTAGCGCGCGCCACGTCCACCATCGACATTTGACATCCCCTCTTTTTCAAACCTCCTCCCACTTCTTCAAGGTCTCCGGGACTTTTTGGAACAGAGTTGTAAGTCCGATGGTAAACCCCGCCCACTTCAGCGCACGCCCCACTCACCAATAGCGTTCGAATCCTTTCCTTCGCCAACACCCACCCATTTTTCTCCAAGTTTCCGCGACTTCCCGTGATCGTATAGGCTTGGTGTCCAGTTCCGCAAACTTCCGTGCACGCTACGCCCACCATCAACATTCAACCTCCTCTGCTTCACCAACGCTCGCTCACCCTCGCCTTTCCGGTCTTCGGGACTTCTGGAACCCGAGTTATTAAGACTTGTAATAAACACCGTCCACTCAAGAACACGCTTCGCGCACTGTAGTCGGGCTTTCACTCAGTTCGGGTATGATGAGAAAACCTCGGATATTGCTCTCCTACATCGATTCTTTTCGGCTCCATAGGCTTCCTCTTGACCGCGCTAAGATTCTATATCAAGTACAGCTCATTTAGGAAACGCTCCGCCCACCGCGGGCAGTTCTCACATATTCCACACTCCAACTCAGTGCACAGCTTTGCCCATTTTTTCCGGATGTTCAGGCTGTTCTATAACCGAACGAAACTTCTGCCGCCAGAACCGATCGATTTGGCGCGTGCTCCGCGCACTGTGGGCGGGGCCCCGCTTACCCACGCTTGATCCATGCCCCACCCATTCCAAACACGGACTCTGTAAGTGGTTCTTCAGGTGGTACTGAACCTCGTACGGACGGAGAAACAGACAAGAACACAGAGAGACTTAGCGCATTACATGTAATAGTGATGCTTTGCTTCAAACGTATGTGCCGAATGCAAACGTTACTATGTTCCAACCCAATGCAATCTGTAAGCGGAAGTATCATTATGAGGAGCAATGCAGTCTAGAACCGAGAAAGTCGCTTCAACAGCACCAGACCTAACAATGTGCGCTTTCCGCAATAATTCACCACGTCATCACAGAGCACCATAGCGTAGCTGCACGGTATGGGTCGTTAGGTCAGCCATGAACTGCGACGTTGGAAGACAGAGATTCTTGCATCGAAAACATGAGCAGTCAAAAACGCGCTGGATAAGTGAAGGTGCGACGAAGAGTTGGATTAGTTTTTGGATTTTATGCACAGAGAGACTAATCCATCCTCGTATCGGCAATGATGTATAATAGGCCAGTCAGCCGCTTTGGTTTCGTTCCAGTCATTTCTTTGATCAATTATTCAAACTACTTTATAGAGGGAAGGAAGACGGCAGACTAGTAGAATCAGTTAAAAAGATTAGATAGGAAACCAGAAGATCAAAGGTTTTCAGCAAGTCCCGCTAAAACTAATACAGTATGTGTATTGTTGATGTTTAGCCAAATCGCACCGTTTCAACGACTTCGTCCTCGTTGACGCCGCGTTCCTAAATAAGCTTCTGGAAAATTTGATAATTCGGAAAATCGGCGATTCACTGCTGTACGCCCGAAGAAAGGAACGTGGTTCGAAACACTGAAGGCAGCGTGAGACCGACGTCATAGTCGGCGACGGACAAGCGATGGAGCGATCGCGATCGCTCCATCGCTTGTCCGTCGCTTGCCAATCGCTCTTGGTCGAGCGATTGCGCAATCGCTTGCAAAGTGCACAAGCGACGGGCAATGGCTCTGCTCGATCGATACCGCAGCCGACTGCATTGACTGGGGGCGGGGCCAATCGCCCGTCGCTTGTGCACATTGCGCAATCGCTTGCCAATCGCTCGACCGAGAGCGATTGGCAAGCGACGGACAAGCGATGGAGCGATCGCGATCGCTCCATCGCTTGGTCCGTCGCCGACTATGACGTCGGTCTGACGCTGTCGCGCGTCCCACTCATGCCACCCTCTTCTCGCGCTTGCGCGATTTCCTTCCAATTGCTTGAATTTTTTCAATTTTGCAGTGCAACCGTAAGCAAAAATCTATGAGTCTGCAGTCGCAGATTTTTGTTTATGGTCGCATTGATGTCAGATGTTTTAGCGGCACTATTGCACTATTACAACCCCATTTGTAATCACGGCTATGGCATCCATTTTTGGCGCTGGCGCCAAATTGGCGCCATTTGGCGCCAGCTGGCGCCACAACTGATTATCACCAAATTCGCTGTAAACTTCATAGGGGTTATTTGGGGCCCTGATCACGAATATGACACTGGTTTTTGACATTCGTGCTGTTTAACGCATATTTTCTGCTTTTCTAAGCTTCCTCACCTACCATGCACCGTGTGGCAAAAGGAGAGTTTCGACCACAGTGGAGCGGTCCTACTCACTTGGAGCCCTCCACTATTCAAAGGCTTAGTCCTGATTGCGATCTAATTAGTGCGAGGGCGCAGACGAGCAGGAAATAGGCGCCGAATAGCGCCAACAACAAAAACGAATGTCATATTCGTAATCAGGACCCCAAATAACCCTATACAGAAGTTTACAGCGAATTTAGTGGGAATCAGTCGTGGCGCCACCTGGCGCCAAATGCGCCAAAAATGGATATCATATTCGTGATCAGGACCCTCGATAACCCCCATAGCCGAAGTTTCAGCGAAAATTATTTTTTGACCCATCTCACCCCTAGTGGGGTTGTATAATAATAGTGCAATAGTGCTGTTTTCGGTACAGCATCCAGTGGTCTAAATTGCCGAGCGCAATTAGGGCGACTAAAGTACTCTTTCTGTCTCAACGACTCATACCCTACAACTGCGCAAAATAAGAGAAGATCCTATGGCATTCGCAATGAAGCTCAAAAGTACTAATTAAAAATCAAACAACACGTACTTGAAACACTTCTCAATGTAGCTAAGATCTGCACACTCCTTTGGAGACTGTAACACTTCCCTTAATACGAACGGAATAAGAATTTCGACCGGCCAAACTGAGGAATCCACAGAAACCAGCAAATTTTTTACACAGGCGTTGTCCCCACGTTTCAGAGCCATAAGTAAAGCACTGCTGTCCATGGTGACGGAACAGGCTTTCTAAAATCGAAAACAAAAATCCATTTCAAAGTGCTGTAAGACCGAAACTCTCGCATACCTTTACTTGATGACTTGATAGAAATTTCTGAGCAGAGAGTGTTTGTGTCTGCCGAATTTGTCACAGATCCTACATATCAGATTGCTTGCGTTCAAACCTAGAACGACATTCACTCTGTGACCATTCCAGCATGGGTGTGGTTCACTAGGACAGAAAGCGACTTTTCGCGTTTCGCAGCGCGAAACATTGTTCGTTGCGGGAATCTCGGGTCCACTGATGATTCGCTGCGGGAACCTCGGGTCCACTGATGATCAGCGGTGGACCTGAGGTTCCCGCAGCGGAAAATGTTTCGCGCTGCGAAACGCGAAAAAGTCGCTTTCTGTCCTAGTGAACCACACCCTTCCACCATCACCGCACGGTAGGCGTGGCGCAACAGCCGAAGATGGAGCGGAAGGGTGTGGTTCGCAAGGATAGAAAGCGGATCCCGCTTCACACTACGCGAAAAGCGAAACAGTCACTTTCTGTATTAGTGACCCACACCTGGGCGAGAAATCCCTTCACTTCGAACTGGTGGCATCTCACATCTGATTACATGCTCTTAAAGAAAAAATGAGATAAAATATTCTTTGCAGGTTCAGTCGCTCCACCAGATGTTACGTATTTATCCCACCCTGCGCCCGTGCGATTGCGTACAGCAGGCGATTACAGTACTCTCACGGCTAGTTCCGCTATCGTTGGCACCCTGTTTTCGATTGAATAACTACGGGTAGAACTTGTGATGAGAGGAAATAATAAGACTAGATGACTTATATCTAGTCTAGCAGTTTTTTGCATATATCTTCGAGATGTCAGCAGTGAATATTTGTGGTAGTGGATATAAAAAAAATTCCTATCTCCTATCCAGCAAAAGTGGAAGCGAACACTGAACATAACATTTAATGCAAAATGATTGGAATCGTGGAGAACAGTTTTCCCATTGATAGCGCAATAGTTAAGCTTTTGCTCACAGCTTACGTAAAGAACTGCTATTATCTTCCAACGCAGAAGCTGTAAAATCCCACACAAGGTTGGCGAATAAAAGCGCCAAGCCATCATGCTCCTCCCCACCCCCTGCTGGTCCCCCTAGTACTAGGCTGTGAGTCTAGGGGGATGTGTAAGCAGTTTTCATTACCCTCAAAGTTCATCCTCTTCTCCAAGGCTCAGTCAGTCGTCTAGACTCAAAAGGATCTCTTTTTTGAGTCTACTAGCGCCTCAAGAAACTAATTCGCAACAGTAACGCATCCTCACAAGGATTTCTATGTCTATGGAAATATCTACAAGTGCTAATAAATCAACTAACAACTCGAAAACAAGGTGGCCGTGAGACGCAACTACTAAGCAGTTCATGATGAAAACTACCTCACGAATTAGAACTCTCTCTTCCCTCAGGTGCCAAGTAAACTTCGTCCCCTCGAGTCCCTCACTGCACTGGTACAATGCATAATGGCATCAATGATTGTTCTAGTGCGGAACATTATAAATACGCTAGCACATTACCCTATTTTGCATGTTAAGAAGTAAATGACATGAGGAATTAGAGTGGTTTCCAGGCGCGCACATGGTGTTCCAACGATATGTAGAGCATCTCTCGGTACCCGTCACCTATCTGAAAGGAGAAATGCATGGCTCAACTCAGTATTACAATATTCGGAGCTGTGCTAGTTATGAATTGATTAATCTTTCAATCCTTTCATCACGAGCCCACCCAGGGTCGGTCCTATCGTTGTTACTTTTCGAAAAATTTTTACGACCCCCCTCCCCCAAGGTGGATTTGGTACGACCCCCTTTTCGACCCTCGACCACCATATTCCTCTCTATAGTATTTAATTCTGGTACCACTCAACCCACCAAACTCCGCCCACTTTTTCCTCCAAAAATGCCGTCGAGCGGGGGGGGGTATAGTCACTCTGAAACAGTAAAAATTACCTAAATTCCCACAAACTTCATCAAAATACGACCCCCCGTTGCTACTTGTAGCAACGTAGGGTTGACCCTGGCCCCACCTGTGATCATCAGTTACAAATGTCAACGCCAGTAGAACTAGGCGTGGGTGTACTGTAATCGCTTGCGGTACGCAATTGCACCGGCGCAGGGTGGGATATATACGTAACATCTCTGGGCCCACTCCCTCGCCCTTAATACCTAGTTGAAAATGACGCAGTTGTTAGGGAGCTGTCGCAATCCGGCAAGAGTTCTGGAAAGACCATGGGCAAATGAAGCTGTTCCTTAGGTTACAGGAGTTACGAAATGTGTTTACTACAATGCAGCTTCTGTCAACAGGTCATCATCATATGAACACCTTTCAATCGATTCTGCAACTTGAGTGGAGGTCGGATGCATGGCCTATACTGAGACAGAATCGGATGATGACGATTGCCCCTTTTCTTGTCGCTTATGTTGGGAGAATGTATTCTAGACACATTTCGAGCGTTGCCAACGAATTACACTTGCAATGGTGAAGAAGGGAGCGGCTTTTTGAGCGGCCGAGAATCATCCTCGATAGATCCTCGACGCAAATATCTCCTCAACTAGAGAATGTAGAAGGAAGCTAAACATACTGTTAGAAAGCGCAAACCTTCCGCTTTCCAAAACTGTCTTCCTTTTCAAGATCTTGCGAAATTAGAGAGATATTGCCTTTTAAGTGGCAAAAACTCGCATGAAAATTCAGCATCCTCGACGCTGCCTCGACAAAATTTGAGAGACCCTATCTCTTCGAGTGTAAAGCTTTTAGATCAATTTCAATATTGCCCGGTAGTAGCAAATCCAGCTCTATCTAACCCTACCACATACTGCTCCAAAGGTTATGAAATGGGGAATGGAACCTTTTCATCGAGAGTGTAGATTTCGACGGTTTCGAGCGGGGTTTCGGCAAATCTGACCCACGGATAAACCGCGCTGCAACCGAATGCTTTGCTGTGCATTGATGGAACTCGCTTATTCACATCAAATCAAAGTTAGAGGGGTCGTATCAAGATCCCGATCTGAGGGGGGGGGGGGTCGTACTGATCTGACCACGTCCTCGACACGATTTCACCCTGGTCGGGATTGAATTGATGCTTTATTTTGTTCAAACATTAGGCAAGGGTGCAATGAGGAACATTAGTGAGGAGAAAAAGCAAAAAGCACCATAGAAAACACTAAATTTCCCTTAGGAGGCCGGCCGTAGTACGACGGAGAGACACAGCGCTGCGAGGAGAGGGAGAACGCGAGAGATAGTACGTCGTACGCGAGAGGACGCAGAGACCACGTATGCCGTGGTGGATTACGCTGGCAGCGCGGGCAGCGCGGCGGGCAAGGCCTTAGCGCCATTGCCGCGCACTTTTGGGTCGCGATAGTGTCGCGCCCTCAGTGCTTGGGGAGGGGAGAGGGACTTCAGATGCAGATGACCTCACGCTACCCATGTCACACCTGGCAAATAACGTGTCCTAGCAATCGCCTTCGGGAAGACTCGGTTTAATTGGCTACGTAGACTGCTGCAATTACATATCACGTTACAGAAACTCAGAAGTTTCATAAATAAAGAAATTGGCTGTAACCCAACAAAATCGCAAATTACAATGTAAAGGTCGAATCTTAGAATAACTCAGTAAACTTTGGGAATAATCCAAGAAGTCACACCTTTTAGTGATGCTGAAATAACACTAGAAAATTTGAAAAAAACAGCTTAATAAGTTTATTTTGTGCCTCACTTACTATGTCATTTTTCACTCTCAAGAAACCATATCCAATCAGAGTGTTCCACTATATTCTCCCCTTTACCATCTTTATGATAATTAGCGATCTCAACATGGCGAGCCGACTTCAGTTTCAGAAGGCTCACTTACCGATTCATTTCTGCACCTCTCAATCCTTCCGTAAATGTCTGCCAGCTAGGTTGTGCTGCAACAATCCGATAAAGCGATATTTAGAAGATGGTACTACGCCTAGAGTAGAGGATTTTCCATTAAAGCGGCAAGTGTTTCTTTGAGTTTTTCAAAATTCACCCCCACAAAAGGAGCAGTTTTGAAGCGCTCCAATCGCTTTTTGTCTCAACAATAAACCAATCACGAGCTCGGCAGGAAACACATACTGTGATGCAATGCCAACACTATAAAACTTGGTAGCCTTCAGGTTATTAAGTTCATTTCATTCAGTTCAGTTCAACTTGGTATTAAGTTCAATTAATATAGCTTAAAAGGACGAATTTACGATGGAAAAGCAACCCATTCCAAATTGAGGTAGAGATGGTGAGTAGTACCAGAAAGAAAGCGAAACCACGAAAAACGGCCCAGAACCGGAGAAATGGGACCCCTTCCTTGTCCGTTGATTTGAGCATTGATGGGACTCTCATCGCTTTGCCCTCTTCAACCCTACGCTCTCTCAGCTATCTAATCACTCGCCACCTATTGTACTACGGCGAGTGATCAGACGATCGGTGGGCGGAGATCGCCGAACTCGCCAACTTTGAGCCATGCTAGATCTTACAAGGGAAGGATACCAGGTCGAAGTGGCCATTTGTAACGAGACATACACCACTAGATGTGTTTTTGGACGCTTATCTCAAATCTGCTCTCCAAATCTGCGAAACGACTCTTTGAACGTAGTTATGAAGCGAGATAGTGCAGTGGCAGCGGTGCGGCTCAACGAACGAGAGGTCGTGAGTTCGAGTTCTTGGCGAGTTCTCACTTTTGCTTTTCTTGTGAACGTTGTTTAAGGGACTCTTATCCATGCTAAGTTATCAGCGATTGCCTATAGCACAAGTAAACAGAGCTGGCGAAGAACTTGGACACTGTGCGCGCCAGTTGCAAATGACGGCCTCGGGACACCGCGGTTCGTACGCACACGCGTCCAGGCAAATTGAGTGCAAGCCAAAGGTGTATTCGTAATTCGGCCGTCAGATCCCTGTCAAAACTTTTGTCAAGTCGAAAAATTTCGACGCGGAGGGGTCGAAAATTGTGGGCAGTCA